TGTGTGTGTGTGTGTGTGTGTGTGTGTGTGTGTGTGTGTGTGTGTGTGTGTGTGTGTTTGTGTGCGTGTGTGCGTGCGTGTGTGCGTATTTATGCATGCAGCTTCCCTCCTCATTGTCCTCCCGAGTCTGTGCAAAAGCTTTATGCATCACCTGTCCTTGCAGATGTGGGAAACTCGCTCAGTTCAGCATCGATTTTGGGTTTGCGGGTGTTTTGCCTGTCTGTGTGAAAGTTTAAGAGCGAGACATTCCCTGAAGGACGGGAATTGATGAGGTCAKGTCTAGATATAAAACTACTCCCCTTGTTTGGCAAAGCAGGGAAGTCCTTTAGAAAAGCCTGTGTATTTTGAGCATGCTTGTGTGTGTTGTTTTGACTACAGAGTAAGGACCATTTGCACCATAGTTACTATCAAAGTGAGGTCTTTGATGTAAAGTGAGGACCTCTTCAATGTCTTCACTTTGTTTGCAGCTCTGCTGTACTTTACTACTTAGGTTTAGAGGTAAGGTATGAGTTAAGTTCAGGTTCAGGTTAGAGTTAGCTATAGACCAGTAATGGTTAGTTTTAGGGAAAATGTCTGGGTTAGGCATAAATACAGTTACAAAAATTAATGCAAGTCAATACAATGTCCTCAATTTGATGTAAACACAAGGATGTGTGTGTACACATTTTTGATACTCAGTGGGAACAATGTTTGACCATTTTCCCCAGTACACACAGCCTGGTGAGGACCTACTGTTCCTTATGGGGACAAAAGCCCGGTCCCCATTAGGGGAAATACCGGTGGGTCAGGGGTTTGGTTTACCAAGTCGAAGGCACAGTGTGTAGGATTTGTTGTTTTCAGCGACATCTAGTGGTTGAATCATCCTCCCTGGTCCTACCGCTGTCGTTAGCATTGTAGTGGCTAGCAACTAGCATGGATAAGCTGGCATTAGCATTGTAGAAGCTAGCGACTAGCATGGATAAGCTGGCATTAGCATTGTAGAGGCTAGCGACTAGCATGGATAAGCTGGCATTAGCATTGTAGAGGCTAGCGACTAGCATACCTAGGCTGTTCACCTACTTCATTAGACACAAACTCTTGAATAAAGAAAACTTTCTCAACAAAAATGGTTGACACACAAAACCTATAAGCGACACGCACTGACAGGCGTTCCTTAGAGAGAATTTACTGTTCGACATGACGTAAAGCATAAATATTCTACTTCTCATTTTCCAGCGCCAGCCTCTCGGGCCTATCCTTAATCAGATCAATAGCTGGCTTAGGAATAGATATAGCCTCCTGCTACAAGGCTGTAGCCACTGCTGGTTGCGCAATAGTCCTAATTTTGGCTCTCATACTGCGCCATATTTTCTGAGGTGTCTCAAATCAACTCGTTTTGAGGCTGTCTCTTTAAATCTAAGAGTTGCTAAACATCCCGCCCTCCTCCAGCTTCTAATGCGATCCATTCTAGCTTGATTGGAAAGCTTATTGTCAAGGTTTGACCAAAACAGCAACGTCTGTCATTTCAGTTCTGAAAGGCTGCTGGCAATATGCTTTCCCTCTAGGAATGCTGGGAATTTTTTACTTTAGTTTTCTGATTCAGCACACAAATGACAAACACATTGCGTGCAYGAACAGAAAGAAAAGGTCAGGAGGGACTCTTATTTGTCTGCCATCGCTCATCCCTGAGGAGAGGGGTCAGAGAGGAGAGAAGTGTGCGCTCATGTCAGACAGGGACTGCAGCAAAGTCCCCTGGGGTTCACCTTTAGAGCCACTCTCACCTGTTTCTAAGCTCTTAATGCACAGCTGACAGCTGGAACCGACTGTTTTCTGTCTGGTGGAAGAAACCTGTCTGCAACCATATTGCTCTTTGTGTTGCCATTTTCTTCTAAAATGTAAAGAAAAGTAAGTATATTAACATATACGTTGTGTCTGTCAGTTTAATTAGGCCATGAGCAACATATCTGCTCTTTTTATTTTTGGTTGTCACTTGACAAGACATCACAGAACGGTCACCCACTCTGAACATTTAAAGCTACTTTTAGCTTTTGTTGTTTGTTTTAACTGTAATAAGTCAGTATTACTCAGCATTCACACTGCATTTCTTAAGGATTATTTTTTTAAAGTTTGGCATGAATTGCCTTTTTGAGATGAAAATAGTTAAATAAAACTGATTAAACCCAGTTATATGAACATTTAAGTGTTATTCTGTTGTGGCAGTTCYGGACTTCTGCCAGTAGAGGGCAGCATTGAACGGTTTATACTCTTTCGGCTGCAATCACATCAGATCAAAAGTACAAACCATGCAGGGAGAATGCTTATAAATTAATAAAAACAGATATGTAAAAACGTATAGCTACCAGAGATGAGAGGAACTGTAATATTTGCATTAATATTCAGAGTGAGTGTGTGTTTGAATCGACCGGTGTGTTTGATCACTACCCCTGATCAGCATTTCTGGGGGATAAGTTGTTTCCCACATTGCTACACACAGTGGGGGGGTTGTGGGCTGCAAATACCGGACAGCCACAGACCCTCACCTTTCATCTGCAGGGCTGTAGCCCGAGGTGAGGATTATCTCCGAGGCAAAGACAGAGATGGAGCCGCTCCTCTTCAGTACAGAACTGAGGGGGGCTGTTGAGAAGATGGGGGCTGAGCATAAGAGTGAAAGGCGATGGAAGTGGAGGATGTGCAGGAACAGACAAGGGAAGATGTAGCTGTGGAAAACAATGACGGAAAAATAAAAAAAATTGCGAGGGAGTGGGGGAGGTGGAGGAAGGATATAAGCCACACAAGGGATTCAGACAGAAAGAGGAAATTAGACGTGAGGGTGAGTTCAAGGTGAGCGTGAGCCGCAGTCTGGCTCAGAAATAAACCAGAACATTGGTTTTATTTTTAAGTTTCTAACGTTTTCTTTTAAACACAAATTTTTAAGTGATAAGACTGGTATTTGAGATTTTATAAACCATGTAAAATGTTGAGTTTGAGATCAAATTTAAGCCGTATAAAGATCGTATAAAATAAAATGCCATTATTACTCACAGCATTTTTTTTTCATCTTAATTTTTTTTTTAACTATAAAGCTGTTTTTTTTTTTTTTTTTGCTTTAATTGTTGCATTCTGAATAGTTTGAGGCTGACTTTTACTTACTGCCTGTGATCTCAAACAGCACTTTGTCATTGAGGCCCAGTCGGAGTTCTGGCATTCCTGACAGGACGACTTTGAGCTTGATGCTACCCACTATTTCACTGCGCAGGACACTGCCACTGCCACTCACCTGCAGGACACACAAAACACAGTCAGAACATGTTTGTGTAAGATTGGCTTGTTTGAGTTGTATCATGGTTATTTTATCTTTTTTATGCAAGTTCACCAGCTACACTCCCTAGATAATTAAGATTTTAGGCAAGAGAATAGCTAAAAAATTTAACAAAGCCAGACAGTAGCTAAAAGCTAATATTAGCCATACAGCWGCTAAAAGCTAATATTAGCCATACAGCAGCTAAAAGCTAACATTAGTTAGACAGTAACTAAAAGCTAACATTAGCCAGACAGTAGCTAGAAGCTAACATTAGCCAGACAGTAGCTAAAAGCTAACATTAGCCAGACAGTAGCTAAAAGCTAACATTAGCTAGACAGTAGCTAAAAGCTAATATTAGCCATGTAGCAGCTAAAAGCTAATACTAGCCAGACAGCAGCTAAAAGCTAATATTAGCCAGACAGTAACTAAAAGCTAATATTAGCCAGACAGTAGTTAAAGCTAACAATAGCCAGGCAGTAGCTAAAAGCTAATATTAGCTAGGCAGCAGCTAAAAGCTAACATTATCCAGGCAGCAGCTAAAAGCTAACATTATCCAGACAGCAGCAAAACACTAACTTTAGCCAGGCAGTAGATAAAAGCTAATATTAGCCATACAGCAGCTAAAAGCTAATATTAGCCATAGAACAGCTAAAAGCTAACATTATCTAGACAGCAGCTAAAAGCTAACATTAGCCAGGAGTAGCTAAAAGGTAATATTAGTCAGACAGTAGCTAAAAGCTAACATTAGCAGACAGTAACTAAAAGCTAACAGCTAGACAGTAGCTAAAAGCTAATACTAGCCAGACAGCAGCTAAAAGTTAATACTAGCCAGACAGCAGCTAAAAGCTAACAATAGCCAGGAAGTAGCTAAAAGCTATTAGCTAGACAGTAGCTAAAAGCTAACATTATCCAGACAGCAGCAAAAAACTAACATTAGCCGGGCAGTAGATAAAAGCTAATATTAGTCAGACAGCAGCTAAAAGCTAACATTATCCAGGCAGCAGCTAAAAGCTAATATTAGCCAGACAGTAACTAAAAGCTAACATCAGCCAGACTGTAACTAAAAGCTAACATTAGCCAGACAGTAACTAAAAGCTAACCGTAGCCAGACAGTAACTAAAAGCTAACAGTAGCCAGACAGTAACTAAAAGCTAACAGTAGCCAGACAGTAACTAAAAGCTAACAGTAACTAAAAGCTAATATTAGCTAGACAGTAGCTAAAAGCTAATACTAGCCAGAGAGCAGCTACAAGCTAACATTAGCCAGGCAGTAGATAAAAGCTAATATTAGTCAGCCAGTAGCTAAAAGTTAAAAAGGAGCAGAGGAAGACAAATTAGAGCAAGTATGATGAGGTAGATTTTACAAAATGTTGATTTTGAAGAAACTGAAGAGATCTCAATGTATTTCCATTGGCAAAATTTTAGCAAATAAAGCCAAATAATTCAAAAACTATAATAAAAAAAACTATTCGCTATAGAGCTGAACGTTTTGATATGAATGATCAAAGTAGTCTATAGTATGCAGAAGTAGTTTACCAAAAACATATAGAAAAAAAGAGAAACAAGAAAACAGTGCAAATAAATGATGACTCAGCATTCATACAACGAAGAGTCACAAACAAATGAATCTTCCAGCAAATAAAATAATACAATTTATAAACATGTCTGAAAACAGAGAGACATTTTTAGACCATGGGGTGGTGCAAATACAAAATCAGCTCTTGTTAGCCTCTTTAACGGTTTAGTGTTTGCTCTGTATCAAGTTCTACAAGTCCAGTCCAATTATAGATACTGAAAGTAACACACTACATTGGTAATTTAAAATGATGCAGTGCAGCTTCTTATATGAACAGAGTAAGAAACATCCTCACCAGCAGATTTACTGACTCTATAACGTCCATGAAAACTTCATTCTTCCTGTACTTGATGCCCTCTGAACGCCACGACACAGCGTTGGTGACAGTGGCAGGTGGTCGAGGTGCCCCTACCTCTAGCTTATGACCCTGCTGGGTGATGTACCTTAAAAAGGGACAAAAACAGAACAAAATGTATTAATTCAGCTGTGTTCAAAGTCACTGTCAGGCGTCTGAGTTGGACGCCGGAAAAGTGGAAGTACATTCGTCACCTAAAATAAACTTATTCTGGGAGATGGCGACAAAAAGGTTTTCTGCCAACATGGGCTAAACTTCTCCGAGGTAAGTTTTGACACTAAGCTTTAATCCCACCTCATGAATTCAAATAAGTGAGGTACTCTGGTGCTAATAAATTAAAGGAGCTTTGTGTTTATTTAGTGGGATAACTATTCATGGACATAATTGGAAAACAGAAATTTACATAAAACCATTGTGAATGTAGTCATGGATAATAATGGGCATTTGTTTGACTTAAGGCACTGCTTGAGTAAATAAAGCAAAGTCTTTCCAAAACTAATGAGCCACAGAAAAATACTAGATAAGCTTTAATTTGTTTACATTTAATAATTTGTTTGTTTTTGCGGAACATCACATAATTGTGGAAACTTGATACAATTAAAATGATATTTGACTAAGCTGAAACTGAATGAGGTGAGTTTGATCTGACAGAAATTGGATAAATTACAATATATTATTTTATAATAATAAGCTTTTTATCATTATTTTTACATTTTAGATTAGCATTAATGTCAAACAGCTGTAAGCCACCTGCTGTGTATCACCTGTCCATATACAGACAGTCTGGATTAATATAGGTTTTAGGGGTGTAAGAAAATATTGATACACTGAAATATCACAATATTTCATTTCCCGATACCGTATCGATATTCTAAAGCCCTGTATCGATTTTTTATT